TTATACGTGTGATCACCTACTTTAGCCGGACTCTCGGTGTGTGATTTGAGCCGATGTACACTCAGTGCATCATCCAACCTCTACCACTACCACTACCTGCTGGTGCTATGGTTCTAGTACAACCATACAAACTCGGTTTAATACTACACACACTTACCACTGGTAAATACAACCATAAATACATTAATATAAAAGACTTTCGACTTTCGAGTTTCGACTTTCGTGTGATGCTCCGAGCCTTGACTCCCTTGAGCCCTTGACGTGACTATTTAGTTATATTTTGTACAAGCCCGCCAAAAATATAAAAATGTTACGTGTTTAGAAGGCTACGAATTATGATACGTGTCTTAAAAGTGTCTGATTTAACTACAACGCTATTATGTAAAGGCTATGCTAAAGGCCTTTTTACCTGCCTGATGCTGTGTAGACTGTTCAGTGCTATTCGGCTCAGCAATGTTATGTACACTGGTATATAGTAGAACTACCTGAAAATATGCGCACATATCTATCGTTAGATCCATAGATACTTTATGTCGGAACTTGCAGCTGTATGACTCTCTCCATGGCGCATGGAACGACGTGCTCCTATCCTGGTGTGCGGTCTTGCCCATAGCCTTCTAAATTACACACACATTACTACTAATAATAAACCAATGGCTCCCCACAACTCTCACTATTGTATGAATACTCTTAGTCAATTCTGTGCAACAGAGTACACTTTAGGCATCAACTGATCATTTACATCAGTCTATTCGTCTCAACATTAGACGATAGAACCTAGTTTTACTTTCACTCAGAGATGCTTTTAAACCCGGGGAAATACACATCGAACACCTCAGTGACCGTGCTGGAGGTGTCGAGATACTCTAATGTTGTATCGCTAACATGCTGTGCATGCGCACGACTACAACCCGTGGTATGTTTCAGAGGCATATCCATTTCGATGCAGCTGTTACGTGCTTGTATTATAAAAATATATCGCAGCAGTCTAAACACATCGAGCTTGTACCTTGGCTTGCTGTTACTCAAGATTAAAATTAATGATGTGTTCACCAGAGTATTATATTTTAATTTCTATTTTATGAATCCTTAACCCGATCATGTAAGGCTTGCATGCTACGAGTGTGCGCGACATTGAGATGCGGATTAATTATACGGGAACTATTCTCTGGGTTGGTTTGCCTGATACTATTGATAAGTAGATGTGCTGATAACCACTTGTGTAGTCCAGGTATTCTGGGTGTATTGATTGATAGGCTGTAGACGCGTGTGTGATTTGAAAGCGCAGTATACTCTGCTGAGGTACCTTCTTCTCATGTAAAATGTTCTCAAGGTTTTGGTTGGAATTAGTGAAGGTTTCTTTCTATGTTCCGATTTGTACCGCCCACACCACCTGGCTGAGTGCGATTTCTGGAGGTGCTGTGTTCCGTAGAAAAGTTATTCGCGGAAAAGTGTGTGCATAGCCTCTGATTTTATTCATAGCATTGGCAAATTTGATTATTTTATGGCTGATATACCAATTAATATTTGTCGTCATACGCCATTGACGAACCTTTATTGTCGATTATACTTGTCGATTGATGTGAGTACTTCTACGATTGATATATCTTCTCTACATTTGATATATCTTCTTGTGCGATTGATGTAACTTGTCATGCGATTGATGTAACTTGTTATGAATAGATGATATATAGAGCTACAGAGTGGTTGTAAACCCATACATAAACGATAATCTCACGCTTCGTGGTTCATTGTCTTGTACATAGAACGTCAAATGGGAAGGATGGCGGGCATGTGCCTACTGTGGACAGAAGATGATGTACGTCGACGCGGTAGTCAGCTACGAATTCACACTGACGGTGTGCCATACGATGCAGAATATACAGAGTATGTCCAAAAAGGTGTGAGTTATGATCGTATAAGTTTGTATTGTGTGGTAGTAGTATGCCATACGATGCAGAATATACAGAATATGTCCAGAAAGGTATGAGTTATGATCGTATATGTTTGTATTGTGTGATATAAATATCCCATATGATGCTGAATACACAAAGTGTGTCCAGTATGGTGTGAGCTATGATCGCAAACGTCTGTGTGCTGTATCTAGGTGTAGGTGTATATACTTATGTGTAGAGTTAAACTGGTTCTACGTATCTATGCACATGTTATGCTCCTACACCAACAAACTCTTAGAGATATAGGTAAAATGACATAACTGTAAGTTGGTTGTCTGGGCTTAGCATAGGTGAGGTCGTTCTCCTAATGTATATCATTATAGCACAGTGCACACCTTCCCCACAGATCCTTTCAGAGTACCTGTACGCAACACTCGCTTCATTGACCAAATCAAATCTGTCTGTTAGTTCAATTCACACACCCTCCGCTAACAGCTACTTAATCCACCTATCATGTTCAGCTCTATTCCGATCAAGTGACGCTGAGTGGCTGTTTGGTATAAGCGCGCGAGCACTGTTCACCAGACTCGAAAGGTAAATTTTCACAAGTCTTTCTAACCTTTTTTATCTGTCTACACTGCCCCCTATCTTAGTACTCCAAGTACACATTGGCGCTTTATTGGGGCTTCAAAGGTAAAGTTGGATGCAATAAGGTGTTGTCCACCCCCTTTATTTTCAGCAATATACCGTGTCAAGCCATTTGTACTTATCTCGTAACCAATATTTACTTGAACACGTTTCAAAATATCTAGCCAACCTGCCCTCCGCGAACACTGCATTGCTGCCCTAAGGACCATCCTGGTCGGCAAGCAGGTCTCCTTACCGACGCGACCAAGCTATACTGTAAGTATTCGCTCGATGTGACGTTGTTCAAGTTATATCGTATTATATTATATATATATATATATATATATATATATATTATATATATATATATATATATATATATATATATATATATATATATATATATATATATATATATATATATATATGTGTGTGTGTGTGTGTATTTATATGAATATATATATATACATATGTAAATGTATATGTATATATATATATATATATATATATGAATATGTATATGTATGCATGTATGTATTTTCATATATATATATATATATATATATATATATATATATTTATATATAGATATATATATATATATATATATATATATA